AAGTGCTAAGCACCTGGGAAAATCTAGCCCTTTTTTTATGTCCTGGGGTTACGTCTACACTGCAATCGGATTCTGCTGCAAGGAGTCCCAAAGCTCAGGTCAACTGACGTGGGCTCATGCGACAGGGTTTCAGTGTAGACGTCCTGCAGGGGCTGTGGCCAGGGCTAGCCACACAAGTACTTACAGGTGGTCAGGCAACCCCCCAATTCAGGCTGGTAGCCGTGCCACTCCAGCCAGCCTGCTAATATTTAAGGCACTCGTTTGAGCAGCTCCACTTCCAGTTGCAATGTAGACATACCCTGAATGGGAGCTGGGCTCTTCTCAAAACATGGCCCAAAATGGGGGCGACAGACACTTCTGCAGGTTGAACTTCTTTAATCCAGCACCCTCAGGAACTGCCTGGTGCCGAACCAGAGAATTTGCTGGACCATGGGGGGTCCATATCTAGCAGCATGCCCAACGCGTCCACTGATGAATGGGCTCTGAGAAGACATTTAGGGGTAAATCAGAGTTAAAGAATAACACAGAGGGCCAGGACCGGGGGCTGTCAACAAACTTTATGGGACCGCGGGAAACTCAGCCACACCCAGGATAAGTGGACGTCCTTGTTGCTGGACATGATGCTGGGACGTAATTGGGGACCAGTTTTGCACCTGCTCAAAGCGTGGCTCGCTTCAGGAGCAAGATGAGGGAATCCCTGAGAGTGACTTTCCAGACTCCAGAGCAGCTCCAGCTTTGTCAGCGGCCTTCAAACGCTGCAGTTTCTGATCTCGCATTTTGCAGACCCCCAACTCCCCTTGAGTTGAGTGGGGCAGAGCTGGGCGCACCAGGAATGTAGGATCAGACCTTGTTAGTCCAGACTCGGGGGGGCTGTGAGGGGTGCACCGCACACTTCATGCAGCACAATACACCTTTGTTCATCCCAAGATGGGGGTGATTTTGGCGCTGGTGCATGTTGTTTGGCTCCTTGTTATTAATAGCAATCCTGAGCTAATAAGAATATTGCAAAGTGTTCCCTAAAGGAGATCAGTATTATTAGACCCATTTTACAGATGCAGAAACAGAGAGGAAGTGACTTACCCTAGGTCCTGCATTAGGAATGTCAGGAATACAATCCAGGTCTCAGGCTTGTGGACTATCCATTAGGCCACACTACCTAGGGCAAAACTCCTCCCCAAACAGCTTGAGAAAATATCTTGGTTTGTGCCATGACATGTCGTGTGTTTCACGCTACTGAACGGTACAGTCATGCTTGTGTTTCCTTCATGGCCTGTTCGGCTTCTCCTCTGCGCCAGCCATTTCCTCTACAGATGAAGCGGGGGAGCCGTTTCTGTCTGTTTGGCAAGCAAAAGCGGGGAGAGACCTGAGAAAGCAAACAGCCCACGCGCTGGGCTAGCGGAACGAACACAACGAAGGTGGCAAAATGAATGGCTTGAAACTGACCACAAAAGCAAGTGCAATCATCCAAGCATCCGGTTCTGACCTTCTTTGAAACAGCAGCTCCTGTGCAACCATTTGTGTCACTTCCTTGGTGGCTGTTTGTCTTGCAGCTTGTGGGTTGTTAATCTTGGTTGCAATTTGTTTTTGTAAAACAAGGTAGAAAGCAAATCAGTCAGGGCACATAAGTACAGGAGCTTCCTCTTGGATTTTAATAGACTTGTATTATCACTGGATCATAAGACTAGAAGGGTCCTTGAGAACTCATTCAGTCTAGTCCCCTAAACTCATGGCAGGCCTCAGTGTTGTCTAGATCATCCCTGACAGGTGTTTGTCTAACCTGCTCTTAACGATTTCCAGTGGTGGAGATTCCACAACCTCCCTAGGCAATTGATTCCACCCTGACAGTTAGGAAGTTTTTCCTAATGTCCAACCTAAACCTCCCTTGCTGTAATTTGAGCCCATTGCTCCTTGTCCTACCCTCAGAGGTTAAGAACAATCTTTCTCCCGCCTCCTTGTAACAGCCTTTTATGTAGACAAAACCCATTGTAATGTCCCCTCTCAGTCTTCTTTTTTCTAGACTAAACAAACCCATTTGTTTTTCAATCTTGCCTCATAACTCATGTTTTTTAGATCTTTAATAATTTTTGTCGCTCTTCTCTGGACTTTTTTCCAATTTGCCCATATCTTTTCTGAAATGTGGCACCCAGAACTGGACACAATACTCCACTTGAGGCCTAATCAGTGCAGAGTAGAGCGGAAGAATGACTTCTCATGTCTTGCTCACAACACTCCTGTTAATGCATCCCAGAATCATGTTTGCTTGTTTTGCAAGTGTCACACCGTTGACTCCTGTTTAACTTGTGGTCCATTATGACCCCTAGATCCCTTTCTGCAGGACTCCTTCCTAGACAGTCGCTTCCCATTCTGTATGTGTGACATGAATTGTTCCTTCCTAAGTGGAGCACTTTGTATTTGTCCTTATTGAATTGCACCCTATTTACGTGAGAAAAATTCTCCAGTTTATCCAGAAAATGTTGAATAATCTTATCCTCCAAAGCTCTTGCACCCTTTCCCAGCTTTATACATGTACTCCCTATGCCATTGTCTAAATTGTTGATGAAGATACAGAATAGAAATGGTCTCAGAAGTGATCCCTGTGGGATCCCACTCATTACGCCCTTCCAGCATGCCTGTGAACTACTGATAACTACTCTCTGGGAATGGTTTTCCACTCAAGTTTGCACCCACCTTATAGGTTGCATCTCCCCCTTCTTTATGAGAAGATCCTGGAAGACCAGTGCTTTTTTTGTGATGGTATTGCTCAGTATGCACTACCGGCACCTCCAGTCAGAGCTTACCTGTAAAGAACGGAGCGTACCCGCACCTCTGTATGCAAATGTCCAACAGTCGACTGGGCTGCATGTCTTAAAGGGACCACGTCTCTTAAAAGGGCAATGATGGCCCCACCCTGCCTTTTTTATATTTTTTGCTCAACAACTTTTCCCCTGGAGTACCGGCACCATTTTTTTTTAACAAAAAAAACCCATGGTGGAAGACAGTATGAGAAGCTTCACTGAAGTCCAGCTATACTATGTCTACCACTTTCCCCCATCCACAAGGCTTGTTATCCTGTCAAAGACAGCTTCCCGGTGTGACAGGGCATGTGCCCTGCACTGGCGCTTTAAGAGCAAAACCCAGCCCTGACCAAGGGTCTGAGCACGAAGCCTCAGCTGAGGTGGGTATTGCTCATTAGGGCCCAGCTGGGGGCTATATAAAGAAGGGCTCCTGGCAGGAGAGGGGAGGCTCAGTTTCTATTATAGTTATAGCAAGGGATGCAGTGTTATCAGGGAAAATTTAACATTTAAGAACATCAGAATGGCCATACTGGGTCAGACCAAATGTCCCTCTAGCCCAGTATCCTGTCTGCCGACAGTGGCCAATACCAGATGCCCCAGAGGGAGGGATCACAACAGGTGATCCTCATGTGATCCCTCCCCTGTCACCCACTTCCGGAGAAACAGAGGCTAGGGACACCATTCCTGCCCATCCTGGCTCATAGTCATTGATGGACCTAACCTCCAGGAATCTATCTAGCTCTTTTTTTAACCCTGTTAAAGTTCTAGCCTTTACTGCATCCTCTGGCAAGGAGTTCCACAGGTTCACTTCACAGCAGCAGTGCAAGAAAACAATGATCTGTCATGGAAAGGAGGGTAGCGGGGCGGGGGGAGGGGAGAGATAGAAAAGGAGCCCACCCTACACTCCGGCATGAGGCCCCAGTTCAGCAAAGCTCCTTCAACCTATGTACATATTTATCCTGAGCACCCCACTGTGAGATACCAAGTATTATCCCCATGTCACAGCTGGGGCACGGAGACCCACAGCGACTGGGGGTAACATGGTCAGAAGCCCCGAAGTGACTTGAGAGGCAAAGTCCCACTTTCAACAGGGACTAAGGCCTGACGGTCAGGGACCGGCCCAATCACACATGGAGCCTGTGACAGAGCAGGGATTTAACCCCTGAGTGGCCGGCTAGCACCATGCCAACCGCACCCTCCTTCCTCCCTTCGGTGCTGACGTCCCAGTGAACTGGCTAGGCTAGGGGAAGTGTTTGCACCACATTCACCTTCCCCTGGAGCTCGGTCTCAATGACTCTGGCCTGCTCTCTGTGTGTTGCTCCCATGATGCAAAGGGAGCAGGACCTGGCTGCATGTGCCGGGGGGTATAAAGGCAGCAGAACCAACTCCTGCAGCCAAGAGCCATTGGCACGTGGGGTGTGGCCAAAGCAGGGGGGTATCCCCTGCTAGCAAATGGATCCTCCCCCTAACGTCCTGGCA